TGGGCGTCTCCCTCCGCGTCGCCTGAGCAGCTAGCGTGAGCCTGCAGCTCACGGCCACCGTCCAGGGCTGCCTGCCCTGTCACCAGCAACACTTTCAGCAATGAAAGTGGAGTGGAGGTCACTATTAGGGCACTCGTCCCTAACACAAGGGAGTGTTCCATCCGCCTGAAAACAACTTTTAAAGTCTACGTATGTTTTGGTAAAAGAATCAAAGAGAGATCATTTAAAGCGTACTTCCTGAATGAGAGAGGCAGAGACAGAGACCCGGCAGGGTCTGGGCGCCATGCTCCCCCTCGGCCTCAGCAAGCCCTGGTCGTGGACAAGCGTGCCTGGCGTGCTCGGGGTGTCTCGGGACTCGCACCAGGAACTCGCTACTGCAGCCCCAGGGAGCGACCTGCACTGGGGGACACCTCACGCTCACCCCAGCAGCAGGAGCCAGCACCTGAGGTGGTAGAAGGCCGGGCCACCACCCGCAGGGCACCGGCAGACACCAGTCACATGCACCTCGGCCCCCTTCACTTCTCTACCCAAACCCTTTCCCCCGAGGGCCTGGAAGACCGTACTAGAAGTACATTTTAGACACTGCGTTCTTTGACTGGCAAGTCTGTTTCACCATCACGTGCAGAAAACACTAAAGCCCAGGGCACGTCAGAGCAAGCTGGCACTTGCCAGGAAGTCACATCCGGGTCAAATCTGCAAACAACGCAAAGTAGGTGCACCGCAGAGCTCAGCTGCTCGCCACGCACGCCTCCCTCTGTCTGCAGGATCCCCAGGCCACTTGGAAGTCAGCTGGCCAGCCCCGAGAGGGGCTGCAGATGCCCACCTGGGGCACACACACGCTTTCTCCCCTCACCACGCTGGCTCAAGGACGGGGGTGGAGGGGTCGGGCGGCATCGGAGGTCTTTGAGCCAGACACATAGAAAACCACTGTGGTCGTGATTGGCGAGACGCCATATCCTGACCACCCACACGGCTACTCCAGGCCACTGAGTGCAGACCGAGGACTGGTGGGCCCACAGGTGCCGCCCACCTGCTGGCAGCTCACACGTGCCTGCAGGGGCACAGCAGCTCCCTCGTGGGCTGGGCCCTCACAGAGGAACCCTCTGGCTGGGCCATCAGGGCAATCAGGGGCCCACTGACAAGGCGGTGGGGAGGGCTCTCTGCAGGGGCCAGGGCCATGCTGGACTGCGGTCAGCTGAGAGGGGAGTGGTGCCGAGGAAGGCTGTGCAGAGGAGAATGAAGTCCTCAGGCAGCAGCTTTGGAAAGAGCTCGGCCACTCATCAACGGTGGTGTGTGGGTGCGGCCGACCGGGGGCCTCAGCAACAGGACGGTGATCCCCGCACTGCTCTGGGCTGGAAGACCAAGTCCGAGGTGCCGGCAGGCCTGGGTTCTCTGGCACACGCGATTCTCGTAGCTGTGTGCACAGGAGGTAGCGGCGAGCACACCTGCTACTCAGGCCCTGCTTTGCCCTCCACAGAAGGGGCCGAGGCTCCGTGGAGAAGCCTGAGCTCAGGGCTGGGCAGGCAGCAAGGCACTGAGCCGCCAGTGACAGAGGGCTGACTTCCAGGCTGCCTTGAAGGAGCGCCTCCTCCTGGCCCAATGGGGGATTGCTCGAGCATCCAAATGAATGAGAACCCCGAGGGATCATAGCCTTGCAGAGCACAGGTACTCATGAGGCTAATCCGCTGTGACAGAGTGACTGAACACGGCAGGGGCGCCGCCTCGAGGCAGGGTGCTGGCTAACGTGCAGAGGGGGTGGTCCCGGTAGAAAGCCACCTTCAGACCACCCGCTCTCAGGCAGGGATTGCGACGCTGGTGGAGGATGAATGGGGGCACAGCTGCGTGGTCTCTGGGTGTCCCAGCCTGTGCTATACCACGGGGCCGAGGCAGGCGGGGGAGATAAAGGCTGTCAGTGACGGGTCACTCTGGCCCAGTGTCACTGTCATCACTCAGTCCCAGCAGAGGCCCAGGCGGGTCAGGTCAGGAAGCACGTTCGGGCGGCCTGCCGAAGCGTGGGCCCGCGGTTTCCAGAATGTCACGAATGCGGTTGTCAAGCCCTGGAGTGAGCGCGGCTGCCCAGGAGACCGAGGGCGAGACAGCGGGGCAGGCCCCCGGCGGGCTGTTGGCTGCGACGATGCTGCCGTCCCACACCCGGCAATGCTCCAATGGGCCTGGCCACTCACTTCCATGGTGTGGCAACCCCTATAACAGCATTAAAACTCAGAGATGGCCAAGGGGGTGAGACCACGGCGAGGCCCACCCTCAGACCAGAGTCTGGGTTTGTGGGTCCATGTGTGGACCGAGGCAGGCTGCTGGAGGGAGGCCTCTTCCGTTCTCACCTGTACCCCTCGCCCCGGTGCCTCCCATCATACCCCTGGCTGTCGCCCGTGGTGCCTCCCGCCATGGCACTTACTCTTTTGCCTGCGGTGCCTCCCGCCAGGTCACCACACAGCAAGAGGCCCTCGCCAGATGCAGCTCCTGATGTGAAGGCCGTGCTCCGTAAATGACCCATCCACGGTACCCGGCTGCAGTGCTGGGCGATGCTGCGAGTGGCTGACAGCCCGGACTGCCCTGCAGCTGCACTGCCAGTTTGGAACTGCTTCGAGAAAAAAGGTTCTAGAAAAGGAAAAAGCTCTGGATTATTTGGGTTCACAAAGATGAATAAAATAAAACTGGGAAAAGCTGTATGCCAGGACCAGAGCCAGCAGGGGACCTTGAGGTTAAGATGGCTGGATCCAAAAAAAAAAAAAAAAAAAGATGGCTGGATCCCACATAGCTGGCTCCATGGTTCGAGTCCTGGTCCCAGTGGCTTGAAAATCACCCCACGCACATGTGCCTGCATGCCCAAAATCCCTGGAGGAGAAGGGAGGAGAAAGGACTGTGACATGGCCACCCTCCCTGGTGACTTCTCACATTCCCTGTCTCTCTCCAGCAAGTGCACATAGCTTATGGCAAGAACTACAAAAAAAAAAAAAATACAGAAAAAAATACAGCTGGCACTGAGGCAGACGAGAACGTGTCACCCTCACCCAGGTCTCCTAAAGCTCAGTGCAGGTGCCACCGTGTGTGGGCCCTTCCTGTGCGGCTGGCGGCTGGCGTAACTGACTACTAAGGGGGCAGTGGAGCCCTCTCGGCTGGTCCAGGGTCAGTGAGAAAACCATGAATGCAGAGGAAACCCCGCAGGCTCTGCTGGCAGTGGGAGGTGATGCCTGCATGCTGTCACTGCTCACTCCCTGAGGGCTCAGACCAACTACCTCCAGGTGCCACGTCACACTGTGAACTCCTCCATGGTGGGGACGCGCTGACCAGGAGCGTGTGGGAGGCCATTTTCATTCGCGTGGGCTGGCCCAGATGTCTTCAGGGCTCCAGAGCAAGCTGACCAATTGCAAGCAGTCACGAGGAGCCCTGCGTCTAGCCCCACTTCACTTCCAAGACAGCCCGCCGTGGCAGGAGGCGTGAGGCTTTGTGATGCACAGGAAGGGAGCAGCCAGAGTGCCAGCCTTTGTGGTGGCCCCATGGCCCCAGATCCAAAGGGCAGCACTGAGTGGGACAGGGCTGCCAGCACACACCAAAGAGGAACCGAGGGACTACAGCAGGAGAGGGACCGAGGGGACCGCTGCAGGAGGGGGACCGAGGGCCGCTGCAGACTGAGGCACTCTGCTCACAAGCGTCAGCACACAGGTGTCCCTTGGCTCTGCACAAGCACCTTGCGACCATCGGGGTCAGCACTGCCATGCTTCACTCTCAAGACCTGCAGGAATGGAGAGACCCCGGGGAGGGGAAGGCCCGGCCGAGGACTAGGTCTAGTCGCCAAGTTTTATAGACAAGGAGACAGCCTTGGGACAGAGCTGGCTGAGTGGAGGGTGAGCGACAGGCCCCACACCAGCACGGGGGCACTCTGTCTGTGTCAAGCCCTTGGTCGTGTTTGAGCGGGAACACTGTGCCAAGACCGCAGAGTGCGCTAGAAACACTTCTGTTAGTTCAAATGAAACGAGTCCCCTTCCACCAACAGCGCTTCAGAAACGCCGCAAGCGATACGCCTGATGTAACCACCAACCAGGAACGCAGATGGCAACACAAATGCTCACCACTCCCTCCGAGCCACGCCCGGGAAGTCACATCACTTCAGCTTTCATCCAAAAACTCCTGGAGCCTCCCCTTCTCCATGAGGAGTACGGGGATCTAAAAAGCCAGTCTGGTATTTCAACAGGGTAAGAGCAGAGAAACCACGAACTCCCAGCAGTTTGGAAATGTGAGACACAGGAAACATCTTAAGAGGCGTCTTTAAACGAGATGCTATAAGCTACTCCACTAGTATTTCTGGGAAAGGCCAGTACCCACTAGATCTTACATATAACAGGCAAACTGAGGCCGAGACTTCCGTACCTCGCCACTCTTAAGCAGGACAGCAAGCAGACTGGGCACGAGGAGGAGGCTGCCCTGGCACATGGCAAGCCTTCTAGGCTCAGACCTACCGAGGCCCGTGTTGCTGCACTGCGCTACCAACAGCCACGTGTGACCTAGAGAAAAGTTACGGTTCCCAGACCCAAAGAAGTAAATATACAGGAGTTTTAAAATAATACAAAAACTATTTTATTAGTTTTAAAGCCAGCACAGTGGCTTTTGGCATAACTATCCATTTCTAATACAAAATCGGATTAAATAAATATCATCCAATGTATAAATAGACCACAAAACAATTTTGAAGGTAAAAAGAGAACTCTTCTGTAAATTAAAAAAATTAACTTTAAAAATTGTCTTTAGTGGTGAATCAAAAACAAATTGCTGTCATTTTAGTCTGTCAAACATAATACAAACCTTGATTGAATACAAAGTCTTCATGCTGTAAAGTCTCACATAAAAAGATGAAGCAGTGGAACCCTCTGATGCTGCTCCTGTTCTTGGGTGGACACCGGCTAGTCCTCTGCCAGCAAAGTGCCACACGCCCGGGGCTGGGGGAGCGTGCAGGGAGAGGCCAGCGTGTGCGCCCACCCGTGCACATGTGTGTCTGAGGCAGGGGGTGGACTCAGACAGGATGTAACAGCCGGCTGTGGCCCGTGGCTCTGGAATCTTGCCCGGCGGGGGGTGTGTGAGGCTTCTCACCTTAAAGGGCCCTGTGCCCCCACGTGTTAGACCACGCAAGGAGATGCAACTGGGTTTCAGCACGGGGCTTTCCACTAGAACAGACATCTGGAGACCACAAACTGCAAACGACAGGACGCTGGGCTCTGTGTGTAGGCACTTCTGAAATGTCACTGCGGAAGACCCAAAGCTCCTGCGTTCCGTGAGTACAGATTAGATGGCAAAGGAGAGCACTCTCAACCCAGAACCAGGCTCATCGCGCAGCAGCTCTCAGGAAAGGAGCGGAGCACGACCGTGCTTGGGTTAACTTCCTCGGGGCGGGGGCACGGGACTGACTCTGCAATTCACTTCAGTGAAAAACTCCTGCAAGACAGGTGGCATCAGATACCCCCTAAAGAGAGTAGCCAGAAAGCAGTCTGACTGGCTTAGGTATTTCTTTAAAGAAACGTTACTCACAGAAATCTGTGTGACGGTCATTTACTGTTAAGATGTGTACCTTAATAAGTTATAAATACTCTTCTGAAAAGATAAAAACCCAAAGGTAGAACTGAAACTTAACTTCTACTTCTGAAAATCTTGTACCTGTAGTAACGCAGTGTCTCTTGCGCACTAATGTTAGAGCCCAAAGGAAGACAGAGGACACTAGTTATACTTAAAAATGACCATGGGTGGGACCTACAATAAGGGGACTGAGTCAGAGTCTGAGCACGCTGGCAACATGTGTGCACATTAGTAATGACTAAGCACATTGGCAGTGACCGAGCATGCTACTAATGACTGAGCACACTGGCAGCGACTGAGCACACTAGCAATGACTGGACATGCTAGTGATGACCAAGCATGTTGGCAGTGACTGAGCATGCTAGTAATGACTCAGCACGCTAGTAAGGACTGAGCACTCTGGCAATGAGTGTGCATATTAGTAATGACTGAGCACACTGGTGATGACTGAGCACACTGGTGATGACTGAGCACACTGGTGATGACTGAGCATGCTAGTGATGACTGAGCACACTGGTGATGACTGAGCACGCTAGCAAAAATTTAGTACACTGGCAATGACTGAGTATACTGGCAATGACTCAGCACACTGGCAATGACTCAGCACACTGGCGATGACTGAGCATACTGGCAATGATTCAGCACACTGGCAATGACTCAGCACGCTGGCAATGAGTCAGCACACACTGGCGATGATGACTGAGCACTCTGGCGATAACTAAGCACACTAATGATGACTGAGTACACTGGTGATGACTCAGCACACTGGTGATGACTAAGCACACTAATGATGACTGAGCATGCTACCAATGACTCAGCATACTGGTGATGACTAAGCACACTAGTGATGACTGAGTATGCTAGCGATGACTCAGCACACTGGCAAGGACTCAGCACACCAGTGATGACTAAGCACACTAATGATGACTGAGCATGCTACCAATGACTCAGCATACTGGTGATGACTAAGCACACTAGTGATGACTGAGTATGCTAGCGATGACTCAGCACACTGGCAAGGACTCAGCACACCAGTGATGACTAAGCACACTAATGATGACTGAGCATGCTACCAATGACTCAGCATACTGGTGATGACTAAGCACACTAGTGATGACTGAGTATGCTAGCGATGACTCAGCACACTGGCAAGGACTCAGCACACCAGTGATGACTAAGCACACTAATGATGACTGAGCATGCTACCAATGGTTCAGCATACTGGCGGCGACTGAGCATGCTGGCAATGACTGAGCACGCTAGCAACGACCAAGCACGCTGCAGTGTATGCGCACGACTGCCCACGTTCCACCACGCAGCATCCTTAGGGTTCAGAGCAGGCCTGAGACTCCTCGGCTGAACCAAGTGGCATCGCCTAGACCGTGGTCACAGCTTTCCTCTACTTAGACACTCCACTAAGTACCTCTGGGGCCTAAAGGGGCAGCAGCAGGGCTTGCTGGGGTGGGAGAGGATCCAAGTTTACATATCTGAAGCGTGCTTTTATCTGCTCTGTTGCATCCTATGAAGACATGGCCATGTACACACTGCCCAGCTGGATTCTACACACACCGGGCCCTCCTGCACCTTGGCCGGGTTTAAGCTCCGTACCGGTCTTAAGCACAGTATCTTTGAAAGGTAATTTGTTCTTTCAGCTGATCTAAGTGCTTAACAGTCACTCCCCAGGAAAGGAGGTTTTGGACAGGGCAGGTGTCGTCTGACAGGACGGCTGGCAGGACGGCTGCGGCAGGAATGTCACTTGCACAGGACTACACTCACCATCCTGAAGCCAAGTCCTGACCACTGAACTGGGAGCTCTTCAAAAAGACACGGAGGGTCTGGACTTCACAGAAGTAAAGAAAAATGTCATTCAAGTTCTCTTCTGTTAAAAAATACTTGAACTTGAAATGAGTTCACATGCCAAACTATTTTACCTTAAATATTTTTAACTTCATCTTTTAATTTATAGCTATTCCAGATCAGATATGCTACGATAAGATAGATTTTAAAATACAGAACCCTATCCTCAAGCCTGTAGTTGTGTACAAGCCTAGAAATCCCTTTTCTAAAACGACTTTTTAATCAACAGGTAAAACACAGAGATCAGCCTGTACACTGCAAAGATTCAAGTGAAATCGTGTCACATTAAAACCTGATATTTTCAAGGAATGTTTTGCAAAGCAGCAGCTTTCATAATTAGGGAGTAAATAAAAATAATACACACGACGTGTGTGCCTGCAGATAAATTGGGAAAGACACAAAGTAGATTATTAATAGGGTTTTTTTTTTCCTTTTTCTTCAACCTAAACAAAAATAAGTTTTAAATTCACCTGTTAAGGCGTTAAATAGGCAATAAACTAATACAGTTCACTAGGCTATACTTTCTATACAACTGGGAATTAAACAGCCCCTTTCCGAGCCATCCTGAGGTGACATTTAATGCTAAAAGCCAAATAAATAACCCAGTGAAACAAAGAATCTAAAATTGCAATAATTTCCAACTTTAGGGATATTTGTTCACTAAGATTAATTAACATTACTAAAATATCTTAATACAAAATTATAAAAGGAAAAGTGCATTAAAAGCAGAACTTTTAAAACTCTAGCACAATTACAATTACACTGAGCACAGCCAGATTCGCGCTTTGACATTCAAGGGAAACCTTGGGATTTATATGAAATCCAGTATCACAAGAATAAGTCAAATAAGGCTTTTTTTCCTTAAAAAAATATACAGTACACAAAGCAGTTTGAAAAAAAAAGTAATATTATTTAACAGTTTTCTGACTTAAATATTTTCACATAACAAAAGTTTTCGTATCACCATCACTATTACTTATATACATATGTGAAAAGTGAACAACAACAAATCAAAAGATGCCCTTTCAAAAGAACAGTGAAATGTCTCTTTCTTAGGAATCTGAAATGGGCTCCTCTCTTCATATACAAAGTCCATACAATATTTATAATAAAACTACGCTTTTCTGAAACCAAGGAGGCAATGAGAGAAAATAAAGGCAATTATTTTTCAGGAAACAAAAATAGACCCAGCTTTACATTACAAGGAGAGAAGACGCCCACTCATTAGTAAGATGAATCCAATACTGATGTGAAGTGCTTGTCGGAGGTGAGACTGGGGTGCTCTCCTGCACCTGGGGCTGGTGCTCGTATTTACAGGGTATACCGCTCAGTCACACAGAGGCTCGCGGGTCTGTCTATGCAGACGTGCTTATACGGAGAACACACAAATAAGCTCGAGGGAAGCCAGCACGAAGAACCTTCCATCTTTGGAATGCGTAAGGACGGCGCACGCTCCGCCCGACGCGGGGCCGAGGGGGTTGGTATGGGGCATGTTGAAGGTGGCACCATCGATGACACTAAGAGCTCCCTGAAATAAAAAATACACCTGTTGATGCACAAGGAGGAAGTCACGGGTTTTCATAGATCCTTATCCTTAAGCTACAAACATGGTTCTTACTTACTGAGGAGGACAGGGCCCGGTCACTTGCTCCAGGACAGTCCTGCTATTTCCTCTCTGCAACGTATGGCTTGTGCTTCTGCGGGGACCTCGGCCCAGCCCAGGCAGACATGTGCAGGTGTGCCAGCGCCCTGTGCACAGGCAGAGTCCTCACGTTCCCCGTGGACGCCCCGGACACTGTTCTTGCCACTAACGATGAGATCCTCGCAATGGAGAGAGAATTGGCCCAGCCGACTCTCATGGTATTAGTTACATTAGCTGATGGTAAGCTAGAAAGAGTCAAATTTATTAATTTTCAAAACGCAGAGAGGAAGTGGAAAAACACCTCCTGTGCATTGTGATGTTTCCTTCTATGCTGCGTTGTCTCGTAAGCCACGCTCCCTATAACAGAAAGCACGAGTGCAGACCTGGCGGCTTCTCCACGGTACCGTTCACCTTTGCTAATACAAAGAAACTGCTCTACGATGACAGTGACGTCCACTTAGCTCCTCGCTGGCTGCAGCGCTGGCCGTGGGGACATGGAGCTGCCAGCACACTACCTGAGTTGGGTGACTGGAGACACTGATGGCAGCGCGTTCACATTTTCCCCAGTTTTTCTACAAGTCTGTGAAAGACGATGATTCTGTAGATAGTTTTGTAGTTAAAAAAACTACTGTGGGAACGTTAACACTTGAAGCTGAGAAACAGAAATCCCAAGTGCGTCATTCGTCACAGAATGCAACTTTGGAAAGGTCCCCAGGCCTGGCTGGCATCAGAACACGTTGGCAAGGGCCGGCCACTCGCCTGCAGCCTCGCGCACCACCTCTTCTAGAGGCAGGGGCCGGCTCAGCTCCACAGCCTCCGGCTCCCGTGGTCCCACGGGCTCCTGCAGCGTCCCTGTGAGGCAGCAGAGGACAGACAAGTGGCTCAGACCTTCAGTGACACAAGACAATCCCCGTTTGGAGGCCACCCGGCAGGGAACAGCACTGTCTCCACGGCTCCATCCCATGACATGGCACACACGGAAACAGCACGGAGGCGGTAGGGTGCCGGCCGAGCAGGCCTGTCCTGTGCAGTCTGGGCCGTCTGCATGCTCGCCCCTGCGAGGCAACCTGGGCCGGCACTGCAGCTTGTAGTGAGTACTGTGCTTTCCCATCATACCGGAGCACAGGTGCGAGGAAAGCTGTCCTCCTCCCTGAACTCCTCCCTGAATGTGGAGGGTCTGTCTCTCAGGTTCCTGATGGAGGCGCTGCCCTGCTGGTGACACTAAGGCCTTGTAGCTCGGACACAACACAGAACTGCACGCAGCCTGGCACTCGGGAGAGGTGCACCCTGCCGGCCTCCGTCCTGGGGACTGGGTGCAGACTGCAGATGAGACCTGCTGGTCACCGAGGTCTGCTCGGCTCCTCTGCAGGCATCTGCCACCCTGCGGCCCTGTCTGGGCTGAGTGACGGTCCCTTCCTACAGAGAAGGGGGACACTGCTAGGTGCTCAGTGGAGACACGGTGGCCACAATGGAGCCGGCAGCAGGACCGTGCCCACCCCTGCTCTGAGGCATAGGTCTTCGTGACCTGACACACAGGCCACACCTGTGATTTGCACCCAGTCCCCAGGATGGAGGCCGGCAGGCACATGGCCCAGAGCCAGCCTGCCCTGTGCAGATGCCAGCTAACTGCAACCCTGAGCCCGGCTCCCCCAGCCATCCTGCACTATAGGGTGCAGGGGGGCTCAGACAGCCGGGAAGGTGGGTGACAGTGGCTCTGCCACGTGGGCATTGTCCCCTCACTAGAAGCTCTGTCTGGCAAGAAGCCAGCCACTCACTAGTCTGCGCCTGCCCTGCACAGAGATGAAGGCGGCTGCCTCGAGTGGCCTCCACGTGGTGTGGCAGCACACGGTGAGCTCCCTGCAGGAGCACAAGTGCCAGCCCACCCTGCCTGCCCCACATCCTCTCCACGTCACGCCCCCTTCGCCCCCAACGCCGTGCCATGCACAGAGCGCCCGGCCACGGGCAAGCTCACCGGTGTAGCTGTGCGCCCGCCGCATGTGCAGCTTCATGTTACTCTTCTGCGTGAAGCCCATGATGCAGTAGTCGCACTTGTAGGGCCGCTCCCCGGTGTGCTTCTTCATGTGCACCTGCAGCGCGCTCTTCTGGTTGAAAGCCTTCTCACAGAGGGTGCAGCGGAACGGTCGCTCGCCTGCGTGGACAGGGTGGTCAGCCTACCCCAGCATGGCGCCCAGTACTGGCACTTCCCAAGCACGTACGGCTCTGCGAAGACCCCAGCGAGCTCGCCCTGTGCCTGCTCACACCGCAAGGGCCAGGATTCTAGCAGAGTCCCCCCACGCCAAGCAGGCCCGACTTCAGTCCAAGCCCCTGGAGGTCCCAGGGCACCCACAGAGAGGAGGAGGGCATGTCTGGCTTGGACGAAATGCCCCTGCTGCACTTTGGGGAGTGAGCAAAAAGACATTGAGGACATGAAAACATCAAGTCCACTTAATAAAAATTTTTAAAACTTTACTTACTTATTTCATGAGAGAAAGAGACAGGGAGTGAAAGACAGAGAGGCAGCCCCCACAAGGGTCTCCACGCCACACCCACTCAGGCCTGGACCCTGGGTACGTACACACGCATGCATACCCAGCATGTGGGAAGGCCCTGGGAGTGAACCCAGCACCTTGCCACATGGGGCCCGTTGCCTTACTGTCAGGCCCTGCACAGTGTCTAACTGCTTTCAAGTTCACCAGGAAACTGAGCCATGGGAGGAGCTGCCTGGTCCGGCGTGTGCTGGGAGTGCCCAGATACACACGTCAGGCTCATGGGAAGATGCCGCCCTGCTGTCTTGAACTCTCGGACTAACTCAGGATGTGGGCTACAGCATCTTGGTGGGCACAGCAGGGATGAGAGGGGCCAAGCCCAGCCATCGGAGACAAGGCAAGCAGCAGCAGGACAGAGTGCTGCCTAAGATGAGAGGCCTGCAGAGCGCAGTCTGTGGACAGGGGAGGATGGTCCCGGGGCACCGGCAGGTGAAGGCAGGCTGGCCGGGGTGGGGAGTGGGGATGAGCTGCTGCTTCCAGTGGTCATCGTGTGGACAGCAAAAGCTCTTACTTGAAACAGTCAGCCAGGGTTATAAACTGACCGGGCCAGGAAGTGGCACGGAGGTGAAGGCGGCTGGGTCCCACATGGCCGACGGCAGTCTGAGTCCAAGACCTGGCAGTTTGAAAATCAGGCTGAGCATGTATGCGCACGCTCAAAATCCCAAGAGGGGAGTGAAGAGAGGATCGCGGC